GCTGGGGCCCCACCCCTCTGGGGTCCCTATGAGGCCTCCTCCAACCCCTGCAGCCTCACCCAAGCCTCCGGTGCAATAACAAAGCCTAAACACCAACATAAACTAGAGCCTCCTGGCTATAACTCAGCTCAAAGCCACCTGGCTATAACTTAACATAGCTCAACTCTGATCGAGCAGTACCTACTGTCAGGCTTCTCTCCCCATCCTAATTCCCGGAGCTCCTGCCCCTCTGGCTGCTGGCAGAGAACTGCCAGCCTGGCCTCAGCCCTGGGCTTTATAAGGGCCAGGCCTTGCCCCCTACAGGCAGCTGACTCTTATTAGTCGCCCTGGCAACCCACAGCTGTACTCATTATCGCTGCTAGGGCCTTTCCCCAGCAGTTTTCCCCTCTCTAGGAGCAGGCACCAAGGTGCCCTGCGACAGATACATTTTTAAAAGATTGTTTGTGACCCTTTCATATACTCTTGTGACCCTGGCCGCATTTTGGGTCACAACCTACAGGTTGAGAAACACTGATCTGGATGGCTAAGTGCACGCACTAAATCCTTAGTCTTCAGACAATTTAGCTATGCCTCTGGCAGGCCAGCCTTGCCCTCTGGGTCTGTCTTTTCTGGGTAGTCTTTTGTAGAGTGCAGGTGTTCTAAAAGGACCAAGAGAACACTGCTGTCAAAGAACCAGAACGACGCTTTCTTTTCATATGTAAGTTGCCATTAACTCCACTAAATTGTCCTGCTTCTATAATTAGGGACAGTGTACACAGTGGAAGGTGATCAGATAGTACCACAGGACCTTTCTAAGAAAAAAATAACAAAAACCCCCAACACCCAGTACTTATCTTGTTTCATTTACACACAGCCTAAGGTGCTTCTGCTTTATTTTAACAGTTTGTGCCCACTAGCTTCATAACACCCTTCACAGTTGGGGAAGATCAGCCATATAGACACAGACTTCGTGATACTGCAGCCTATACCCCTCACAAGCTTAAAACCTCTGCCAATTCCCTCCAGGTCCTTGGTGATAGCATGCTACTCCCAAACCAGCATGTCCCTCATGGCATACAGCTGCTCCATACTTACCTCCCTGTACTTCTGCAAGTCTTCTATTGTTGCCATATCTTCCTGGCGCTGTTTAATAAACTCCTGAAAACAACACAGTTTGTACAAAGCTCACATCTAACATTTCTGTGCTTGATGGCAAACACCAACTTCAATCTGAACAAACAAATCAACAAGTTCTTTTAAACTGTTTAGCAGAAATATAAGCAAGTGGGTAATTGAAAGGTGTTTACCATTCCTCACTCCTACAAAACCTGGGATTGAAAGGAAATATCCTGTTACTATGGGGTCTAACCCAGGTTACCCTCCTTTCTTGGTGCTTGGTGTAAGGCTGTGCAAAGCTTCGGTCCCCGATTTGATTCGGCAAAGATTTGGCCCAATTTGGTGACTTAATCTCTGAATCTGAATGGAATCAGAGGACCCTTTAATCTCTCTGAATCGAGTCAGACAGATTTGGTGATTCAGACGTAGATACAGCTTTAAATGTTTTTTCTACATACCTCTAGGTAGCAGGGGCTCTGAACGCTGCAGTGCTGGGGCAGATGCAGCGTCCCACAGAAGCATGGAGGGTCTCCCTAGCGTGCTCAGCAGCAGACCCGAAAGTGGACCAGAGCACTTCCGAGTCCACCGGAGAGTGTGCTGGGGGGCGGGGGGGTCGCCCGCACCCCCCTGGCTCAGCAACTGGTGCCTCCTGGGTCTGGGGGGCACCCAGGGTCCCCCCAGTGTGCTCCCCATCAGACCTGGAAGTGGACTTCTGGTCCGCTTCTGGGTTCACTGCCAAGCATGCTGGAGAGATCCTGCGCTGCTGTGGGACACTCCATCCACCCCAGCACCGCAGCGTTCATGAGCCGCACTGCTACCTCAAGGTATGTAGAAAAAGCTTTTAAAGCTGTGCCTGTGTCTGAATCGCTGATTCACTGAATCAGCATTGAATCGTCAGATTCGGATTTGGCCGAATCGAATCAGGGACAGTGATCCGAATCAACGGATCGAATCGCTGTCCCCGATTCAAGCTGAATCCGAATCCAAATCAAATTTCTCACACCTCTACTTGTCTGATGGCAGTTGGCTAATGGGAAGGGCTGCTTGGTTTCTCACACTCAAGATGGGATTGCACAGTATTTCAAATGGCTCAAGAGGTGCTGCCAGGAAAAAAAACAAAACCCAAAAACCAACAACACCACTTGGTATAATCAACTGTAGCAAAGTACTGCAGCTGTAATCACTATTGCCCATACTCCACCCCCTTCGTTTAATCTGTACACCTGCTTCTCTGTCACATTGAGTGAAAACTTTTGTATGTTTTCACCATTATGTCTTCTGCCTTAACTTTAGTTTGACCTATGCTTATGTCCGCCACTTCCCTCCTCTTCAAGTCTGATAATTTACCTGCTCTGCCACAACTGTCATTTGCCTCCCTCATCTTCACCCCTTATGTTCTACAGCCTCAAACTTGGTTGCCAAGCTGACACCCCTCTTAATAAAGTTCAGGATTTAACTTTACATTTGAAGGTATAAAGAAGAAACCACAGTTAGAACAATTACCACACTAACAAGTGAAAGATAAAATGACCATCATAACTTTGAGGAAGGCACTCTTTGGGAAGCAAATAAGAGGAGAAACCTGCAGACACCAGGAGTCTATTGCTAAAGCAGCATCAGTGACCACTGAAAATGTAATGGATGCCACCATATGGCATTTATACAGTGTTAAACACCACTACCATCTTGTAACACTCCAGGAAGATAGGTCATTATCCCCATTTTATAGTAAGTGCATGCTGAGAGAACACCCAAGACTTCTCCTTCACTAGCACCTTACTAGTCGATTAGGTTGGGATGGTCCAATGAGTACGACACTGGGTGATATCAGAAGATCTGACTTCTATTCCTCAGCACCATAGACCCATTTTACATGTTTGGGCCAACCTTTTACCTATGTCTGAGATCTATGGATGAGATATCCTTACCGAATCCCTACTCCAAAACATACTGCCATGATAGCAGCATAGTGATTTTAGCATTGGATCAGCTCTGAGAGATGCCCAAACAAGCCTTCTGGGTCTGCCGGAAAGTAACACAATAAATGACAGTTCAGGTGAGCACAGTATTGTGTTTTCCCGTTTGCCAGTTATGGTTATCAGTTACTTTGCCATGCCACATGCAATCTCTCTACACATAATTATATTGCATTAGGTTCCTAGAAGTCTTGTGCAATGGGAGCCTGAGAAAAATTAATGCATTTATTATACACTTGCTTCTGTTTTCTTGGCACCAAGAGCTCAGGAGAAACTGCAAATAAACATGTGACTTCAGAAGTTTCATTCTTTCCCAGAGCTAGTTACCTCTCTCTCTTGCTGGTAGAGTTTATCTGTCATGGAACTATTCTCCTGATGTAACTTCTTTATCTCCTCTATTTCCTTCGTAAAATTCTTCATCAATGCCTGCTCTGTGGAAAAACATGCAGAGATATGATGGGCCACTCCCTACTAATCCTTTTGCATTTCACAGATTAGGGATACAAATGTGCAGTAGTGTGCCATATCTGGATGGATTCTGTCAACATGCAGCCATTCTCCACCACTAATACTGTGGCACCTGTATGCTGGTTGGCAAGATGCAACACTGACTGCCCTGAAGAGGAATGTTCTCACAGTCACCTCCCATTTCTACAGCATGTGCATGTGTGCTCTGTTATTTCTCCAGTCACTGTAGTTCTTCCTCCTCTCTTCCATAAGGTAACGCTGGAGTAGTCACTGATGTCACCCTGCAAAGCTCAATTACATAGTTAACGTTGTGATGTGCAATGTAACCTGGAATGCCTTTCTATCAGGGGTTTAGGTTGTAGCCGTGTTGGTCTAAGGATACAGGCAGACAAGGTTCCTTGGGTGAATTTGATATCTTTTATTAGACCAACCCAAATGGTTGGAGAATAGTTATTAAGCAAGCTTTCGGGTTCAAAAACCCTTCGTCAGGCTAAGGAGGTTTCAGCAGTTGGTGTGTGCTCTTCCTGGATGGAATGAAAAGTAAACAAGCCAGGGGCTGGGCTGGGCTGGGGAGTCAGTTGCCAGGCAGTTTATAATGTATCAAAAATCCAATGTCTACGTTTAGTCCCTGATCTCTAGTAACCAGCAGGTTGATGAAATGGAGCTCATAGGCTCGTCTCTGGGAAGTGTTGTGTAAGTTTCCCTTGAGGATCAGGACTGAGAGATTGGAGAGAGAGTGGCCCTCCTGTGAGAAATGTGCCCCCACCGGTAATTGGGTGTTTCTGTCTTTGATGGATTTCCGGTGTGCGTTCATTCTGGTGCGCAGTTGTTGTCTGGTCTCTCCTACATATCTTCCATCAGGGCATTTGGTGCATTGGATGAGGTATATTACATTCCTGGAGGCGCAGCTGTAAGATCCTGGGATGCTGATGGCTCTGTTGTGGGGTGTACTAATAGTGGGGGTGGTGGAGATGTGGGGGCAGGTTTTGCATTTCTTGTCATGGCACGGTCTGGATCCTTTTGGTGTGTTCTGGGGTTGAGGAAGTTTGCTTCTGGTGATGAGGTTGGCGAGGTTCGGTGCTTGTCTGAAGGCTAGGATGGGTGGCTCTGGGAAGATCTTTTTAAGAATAGGGTCTTTTTCTAATATGGGTTGCAATTTTTTGAGGATTTTCCGTACAGGTTCAAGGGATGGGTGATAGGTCATAACCAGCGGTGTGCGATTTGTGGGTGTTTTTCTTCTGTACTGCAGCAGTTCTTCACGTGGTATCCAGGTGGCTCTTTCAAACGTGCGATCTACCTCTCTGGAGGAGTGTCCTTGCTGGGTGAAAGCCTTTTTAAGATTGGTGAGGTGGCAATCCCGGGTGTTCTCTTCAGTACAGATGCGGTGGTATCTGAGGGCTTGGCTGTCTATCACTGCTTTTTTGGTGTGTTTCGGGTGATTGCTGGTTCTGTGCAGATATGTATGTTGGTCTGTGGGTTTCTTGTATACTGTGGTCTGTATTTTACCCTTCTGGATACTGATCCTTGTGTCTAAAAAGGGGATGTTGGTGCTGGAGTATTCTAAAGGAAGTCGGATGGAGGGATGGCGACTGTTGAATTTCTGGTGGAACTCAAGTAGAGATTCCAGGTTCTCACTCCAAATGATGAAGATGTCATCGATATATCGTAAGTACAGCAAGGTTTTGATGGTGCAGTTCTTGAGGAAGTCTTCTTCCAGGTGGCTCATAAAAAGGTTGGCATACTGTGGGGCCATTTTAGTGCCCATAGCTGTTCCCATCATCTGGAGGAAGTGTTGATTATTAAAAGTGAAATTGTTGTGTGTGAGGATGAAGTGTATAAGCTCAGTGATATCTTTGGGTCTGTATTCTGGGTTGTAATCTTGTTCCTGTAGATATGTAAGGCAGGCATGGATGCCATCCTGGTGTGGGATGTTCGTGTATAGGCTGGTAACATCCATGGTGGCTAGGAGTGTGTTGCTGGGAAGGTGGTCTATGTTTTTAAGTTTCTATCAGGGGTGCATTTCCCACTCAGTGGACTAGCAGGAAAGAAGGGAGAGCATTCCTATAGTGACTTTATGGAGAAAACATTTCTTCTATTCTAAGACCTCATTCACAGTTGCCACTAAAAGGTTATTTCCTTGCTGTTTTTAAATCCCTGAAGTTGCATGGTTGGTCTCAACCCAGGAGTACTTTCTTCTAATCAGGGATTGAACAAAGGACATCTCTTAGAAGTCATAGACAGATTGCAAACACTAAAGCAATTTGGTATTTTATTCAGTGGATGAAAAGGACATATAATCAAGAGCACCTGGTTGTTTTAAAGCAGCCAGGCTCAGAAGTATCTGAAAATGATTGGGGTAATCTGGGAAAAGTAAAGAAAGCCTAGCACCCAACAAAAGAAATGTGAAACCAACGACCATATTGGCAAGGGGACTTGGAGAAGGTGCAGTACTTGGATCTACTTATGCCTTATTTATTTTGATTCACTACACTTCTACCCAAGTCTCGCTTTTGGGGAAAAATGCTTGCCCTAACACCTGGGGGCTCTGCCTCCCTTCCTCCCCACCCCTCGAAAAAAAACAATCCTCCAGGTTGTAAAGCCAAACGTCCTTCCTTACTTTGCTGTAGCAGTGCCTTCTCCCGCTCAGTCCTCTCACTCTTCTTCCATTCTGCCTGCCTTCGCAGCCACTTCTCCTCCATTTCATCAGAAATGCTGTCCTACATAAAGAGAAGCCCTTGTCTTAGAGTAGGATGGAGAGAGACTGTATGCATTTGCAGAAACCCTTCCAACAAATTGAGGACTCCTGCATCTCCCCTACTGATTCTGTCTATACTACAAACAACACTTTGTAATTATTTCTGTATCTGTTCCTCCTACAAACTTTACAAGGATGTTCTACTTCTGACTAGGAGATAGTGACAGCAGGAGGAAGATGTTTCATCATGTAGCAGCATCTATGGTCCCTGAGTATGACTTTATCCCTCTTAGGAGAGACATGCCACTACCTCTAGAAGCCCTTGAAGTTATGCTCCATGATTCAGAGGGCGTGCACCTCTTCTCTGGCTTTCTGATATCCTTCCCTCCCTCATACACACAAAACAGAACAGAGCAGGGAAACACCTCCCATTAAAGTCGTTGGACTAACATTGCCTCACCTACTTTCAAGGATCACTGCAGGGTAATTGAAATCTTACCTGATACATCCGGAATGCATTCCTCAAGTATTTGTATTGTTTCTCCAACCCCTCTGAGCAAGACAGAAGGACGCAATTATGGAATATGGCAATTTTAATAATCCAAGTCTCAGCAACTGGGATTTGCACTAAAATCTTGGATAGAAGTCACAGGAGAATGGGTTCTGCATCTTATCCCAGGCCCCACAAAACAGCATTCAACAAAATGCCAGGTAAGCTTTCCCTGGATATCATGATCTGCTTAGCTATCTGATCAATCAAGAAAATGGACGAGGCCTTATTTGGAGTAAAATCTTTCAAAAACACCCATATGAGGCTTTGGTGCCATTGGATCTGGTCAATAGCTTTGATTCTGCCTCAAATGCAGCCCCTACTCAAAATTCACCTCTCAAACAGGTCTATTTATTTTTCCAACATAACCCTGACATTTCAGAGATAGGGCACTCTCCTACACTACACATCTATCTTTAACAATTCTACCTCCCTCTGCTGTCCACTGGCATCAATGGCAACAGTCCTTTTCCAACTCTATTAGCTTCCACCACCAAACATGGAGGACAGAGTGAAGCAGCCAGAGGAGAACTCGGTTGAAGTGTGCAGCTCACAAAGTAATCTTGAAAACAGATCATTACTTGCATAGCAATACCCAGTTTCTCTTGTGCAGTTGCCCTCTCGGTTCTCAGCTCTTTCCTATAACATTCCTGTAATTCAGCGAGTTCTGAACTGTGAGTCTCTTGGAGTTCCCTACAGAAGCAACATACAAGCAAACCACATAGATACAGGTATCCTTATGGCACAGAAGTTCTCCTCTGACTACTCTATCATTCATAGTGGTGATGTAGTTACACCATGTAACTGCATGTGTATATATAAATAAGATACATATATCAGAAAGCAACATAGGTAGTCTATAAAAGTGCATATTTACTCTGCCTTCTGACTGACTTCAGACTAACATGACTAACTACCTCTCTCTCTGGTTAATGAGAGGCAGCATGGCAATGTGTTTTTTGTTAGATGAGCAAGTTTATATGCATTATATATAGCAGAAGATTATGAACCCACGTTCACTTCATCAGATGCCGTCTTATTAACCCATCCATACAATGTGTAAGTTCTTGTACAGGCAACTAGAAGTGTGTGCGTGTGTGCGCGCGCGCGTGTGCATGCACACATGTATGTGTTTTCTCTCTTTGTGTACCATAGCAACCATACCTGATCTTATTCTTGTGCTCCTTTTGAATCTCATTACATTTTTCTTCCATCTCATTCTCCATCTTCAAAGAAAAGAAGTAGTCATTAGGGCTGCGTGAAACGGCACCATTCCGTTTCGATGGTTCGAGGGAACAGCATTCAGTTTTAAATTTCATTTTGAGTTGAAACAGCTGTTCTGTTCTGTCAAAACAGAATGGCTGTTTCAACGCTGTTTCGACATTTCGCTGGGGATGGGAAGTCAGCCTAGCTGGGCTGACTTCCCATCCCCAGCGCTAGATCACGTGGGAGCAGGAGGCAGCCCAGCTGGGCTCCTTCCCCATCCCCCATGTTAGATCGCACCACAGCGGTGAGCCAGCCCAGCTGGGCTCCTTCCCCACCCCCATCCCTCTTGCCCCTGGCACGATCTAGCGCAGGGGATGGAGAAGCAGCCCAGCTGGGCTGCCTTGCCGCCCTGGCATGATCCAGCTGGGATAGCTAGGCTGCCTCCCACCCCTGGCACAAAACTTCCCATCCCCAGCCGATGGTCGAAACATTTTGACTTTTGAAACGTTTCAACTAGCCTCGTTTTGTTTTGAGGCTATTTCAACAGCCTTTGTTTTGTTCCGATTTTGCTGTTTCAACCTCGAAATTGGTTGAAACAGTGTCAAAACGAAACAGCCAGCAAAATTTCGCACAGCCCTAGTAGTCATCACTAAGCTGCAAACATACCTATCTTGTCATCAGCAGCAGAAGAAAACTTCTGCTAGAAATATCTCTCCAAGCAAACTACTGAAATCTGGCCTGAGATGGACTCAGAACTACACCTAATCCATTAAACTGCAATTCCAACCTTGAAGATTTTTTCACTATTTTTTCCATTAAAAAAATATGGAAACCTTTGAATCCTTGGATGCTTTTGCAAGATACTTTCCTTTTCCCAAGAGATGGCCCATTTGTATAATGTCACCAATTAAAATCAGAGCAATTCAAAGTACACTTCTAGAACTCAAAGCAGAGGGGCTGTTCCATGCGAGAGCTCCAAAGGTGCACAAGACAGCAAAACACCTATGCACTCAGGTGGTTTTAAAAATCCCACCTGCCCAGAAGCTGCTGTTGCCCATGATGAATACACATCTACATGCCTGGATAAATATGCATTCAGAGTATGCTCATGCTGCTTTCATGGTGCTCCCGAGGGAGTACCACTGTCCACCATGCCCCACCCACCCACTCCTGTTCTGTGTGGATCAACCCCAGAAATGAGGCAGTCAACATCACTTCCCTTCTGCTGCTTTTGAGCATGCTGGAGATAAAAAAGCAGGGCAGCTTCACTGCTTCATTTCTGGAATTGGTGTATGTGGAGTGGTGCTCCTAGGAGTGCTGCAGAAATGGGACAGACCAGTGGTTCTCAAGCTTTTTAGCCTCACGGCTCCCTCCATAACTTTTCTGATTTAGTGTCACCCTGATTGAGAATCACTGAGCTAGAATCTAAACTCACAACTGTTATGAAGGGAGCCTTGAGGGTAAAAAGCTTGAGAACCACTGATTTATCTGGTGTTAGGTAGCAGGGGCAGGATTTCGCCCTGCTGTGCTCTTTTCTTTCCATCTTCTGCCTTCTCCCCGTCTCTAGTCTGTACCTGAAGGGTAAGAGCAGCCCCCGCAGCTGAAGCCCATGCTCAAGCCTCTCACATACTAGTGACTAGAGCCATCTGCACCTGTGGCCCCTCCTGTCAAGCCCTGGGAGCATGGGAGGGTTTGGAAAGCACAGCTTCACAGCCCATAGCAAAGCACACTGCTCAGAGCTTGGGGGTAACTGGCACTGGGGCTGTTGGGGAGTGAGGGAGAACAGCAGTGGCAGTCCTGAGAGGAGCAGCTGTGGACACTGCTCATCTTTGGGACACTGGGGCAGGCATGGGACATTGAACTGGAGGAAAGAGGGCACTTACCATCTTGCACAGGGGCCCAAGGGGATCTTGCATCACCCCAGTTGAGAATCATTGGTATAGATACCCTCTGTGCCTTGGCTTTTGCATCTCTAGGAAAAGCACTAGATAGTGCCCTTCCTCTGGACACTGAATCATTTACATGTATTTTGGCCAGCTGGGCTCTATGGACCATTCTGAAAGGATCCAGAACATGCTGCCTGGCCTATTCAGTCTATTTTATGAGCCACTGGGATTTGTAGTGTACTTTCTGGAAAGAGAAAGGCAACAACCAATGGACCTGCCTGTTTCTGGGAGGCCTTGTGATCTCTGCATAGCTGCTCCAACATGTCCGTCAGCTGGGTAATCTGTTCCTCCAAGTCAGCAACAATATCTTCCCTACAAAGAGACACCATCCCTTTGTCACACCCAGGGCCTGCTGTTGGGACCACCTTGTTGCATCAGAAGGACCAGGGGTGAAAATGGGGTAAATATCACTATCAGAATGCTCTGGCTGGAGCTGGTCTTAGCTCTTCATTCTCCCTGCTGCTTCAGCCCACATAAGTTGGGGAAAGGAGATGTGGTAGGATAGGACTCTAATTCCTTCCTCCCCCCTCTATCTTACTACAGATGCTGAGGGTTTACTGCACACTGAGGCTGCCCTTTACATCCTTTTGGCCACAGCAATTTATTTCCTATTCCCTTCAGTACAGGAAGACTCAGAGGAAAAGCAGGTTTTGCCCCTCTGCTGGTACGGTTGTGTCCTATGCCACTTGCCTCAGTGATCTGGGAGAGAGGCTGCAAATAGAGACAGCCACTGGTCAGAATCTGAGCCGGAGGGGAAAGGAGAAGAACACCTTAGTGTCTCCAGTTCGATTTTGTGCTATGTTTGGTGGAGTTCCCCAACTATTGCAACTCCAAAAAGGACCAGCCCAGAACTCTGAAAATATGATTAGCTGGTCAAGGCACCTTTTGTACTATTCCTTATCTTTAAGGATTTCTTCTCTCATGAGAGAGAGAAGGGGCACTTCTCAGCATGGAATTATAGAATTTCAGATCATACAGATAACACTCTT